ATAGCTATATTTAGATCCTCATATATGCAGAATAACTGTGTGTGTGTGTGTGTGTGTGTGTGTGTGTGTGTGTGTGTGTGTGTGTGTGTGTGTGTGTGTGTGTGTGGGGGGGGTGGGTAGAGCTGACTCCTGCAGGACTGAATCTACAGCATGCCTGTCTCTACATGCAGACCAGATGTCTGTAAGGATGGTATATCCCTCCTTGGATGGGTAATAATAACATACCTTAACATATATTCAGCAGCTACAAATACCATCAATGTTTGCTCTAAACTCTACATGACCCAGATGACATTTCTCCCAGCAGTCACAACATATGTGAATATCTGCAAAAACAATCTAGGTCACATAGGGTTACAGAACACATTGGCTTTGCCTATTTTGCACATCAAATGTAATCATTACACATGTATAGTAATCCAGACAGTCAGAGCTGCCCTACTTTGGCACCGGAGACACAGACGTAAACATAGACATCAGCACAGAGGGGCGGTCAGGTCAGTTTAAGAGACACAGGAGGGGGGGGGGGGTGCATGCATGGCAGACCCAGACAGTGCATGGCACCAACTAACTCGACCGCTCCGCTTTGGGAAAATAACGAGGGTGAGACGGGGGTTGCTAGGAGACCTCACCCAAAGCAAATAAAGCCCCATCTGCTGCAGCGAGATTTGGAGTGGGTTGGCCAAGTCGGACAGAGAGAGGGAAATCAGCCCAGGAGGATCATTGGAAACGAGCTGAGACAGGGGAGGATAGATAGAGAGAGGAGGGAGGGATAAAGGGTGATAATGAGACATGAAAGGGATATGAAATCAAGATATGAGAGTGAAGGGGAGTAGGAATTTAGAGGAGGGATGGGAGAAAAGTAAGCATGACGGGAAGCTTGATTAATGAATGACTAAAAAGTCTCCCACTCATAACCCTCCTCAGGCACACACACTTACACACACATCTTCAAATCCATCTTCACAAAATCACCATGAACACATCACTCTCTGTATTGGATTGCTTTCATCTACTCTAATCACAACATTTATAACAAACGCTGGTGGCGGCAGAACCAAGTCGCTGCTGATGTTGATTTGTCCAAGTCCCCCATTAGTAACAGACGATGCCCTTGTTACCATGGGGACAACAAAATGAGATATCACAGTTGAGTCGCAGCAGGCTTTGTGCCCACGTTATATGATGACGCCTGGTCAATTCACACAAACATCCACCTCATATTTAGTGTGAATGACTCACTCCTCTCCTCTTTGCTGTTGCTATTAGTGTGCAGGGGCTGTAGGAGTTATCTTCAGTCATAGAGAAGTATGCAAAGATTCAATTGAGTCTCTCAAAGGGATTCTTCATTTTTAAATTAGGACAGAACTGTTGAATGTGACATTCATTTCATGTCGGATGAAACATTTAAATCATAAGCAATAAAACAACCACTTTCAAGTCAATATACTTGGCTTTGATGCTACAGCTCTTCTCGTAGGTTAATCTAATTTGATGCTCCAACATCTCAGTTTGCAATGCCACATCTAAAATTAAGAAAGGACTACATTTTTAGTTTTAATAAAGAACGAAAGTAACACCAGATAACAATCCTGGCCACTAGCCTGGCTTAGCAGTATAATTCATTTCTGCAGCCTCTGACTCCAGAGGTATTTATGATTTAATGTGTGATCTTTTAATCACATATTTAAATGTCAATGTATTTAACTGACTAATTAGTGCATTTTCCCTGTTTCCTTAAGATGGTCCAGACATACAGTAGACTGCAGTATGGTTTTCCTAAAGATTTTATGTAAACATTATCAATTGCTCTAAAAATGAAAAGAATAACGTTTTTATATTTTATAACAGTCACAAATGTTGGCACAAGTGGTTAAGCGTTAAGAAGATACAGCCTTGCTTAGGAAATAATGATATGGCCAACAGGACTTTCATGACTTGAATTTAAAGGGGACCTATCATGCAAAATGCACTTTTGTACGTCTTTTTGAAAAAAGACTTCACAGACATGTTTTATATAGGTATGGCCCTACAATATATGTTTCAAATGTAGCATGATAGGTCCACTTTAAATTGATGACAAAAAGCCTGAGCCTTTTGAGTGATTGGCCAAACTTAATTAAGGTACATTACCAAATGATTGAAGTGCCCCTTTAAAGTAAAGGCCACTTAGAGATTTAAGGTTACCTGATTAGAAACAAACACTTAGCCCATACAGATATCAAGGTGCATTTTATTAGATGAAGATCCAATGATATATAGTCAACATCAGCATCCTCCTTTACAAAATACATTAAAATTGAAACATTTTCAGTAAAAAAGTAGTATCGTACAGCCAATGTGGGGTACCAGAGAGAAAGCATGACATGACCTAAATCATATTCATTCATCATCGTATGGGTCATAGATAAAACACAATACATTAACACTATTTACAGTCTGTAACACGGAGGTCGACATGAATGGTAATCCTCGTGTTGAATACACTAAATAGAATATATTCATATATTAGGATTTTTTGTTTACAAAATCATAATGCATTATATATATATATATATATCACAGAGAAAGGCTACCCACAACCTTGGCTTTCAGCTGTACACACCCCCTTGTTTTGCAAAACTTTGACAAAGCAAAATGGGATCTTTTGTTTGGTTAATTTATTGTTGAAGGGTGGATTCTTTGGTTGTGCTGGGTTTAATGTCGCAGCCTCCGACTGCTGAGTTAAACGTATCTGTTTTAGGTTTGGTTGTAACTGGTTAGAGTCCATATACAGGGCAACTTCTAGAGCAATGTTCGCAACAGTGGGAAACTATGTGACGACAGGGCAACTCATTTTACTTTTCTAAACCAGGGTCACATTTAATCTGTCAAAGAAGGACCTGGTAGTTTCAATGGACTGTGGAAAAACAGATAAGATGTTTCATTGCAACACAAAATGTTCTTTTCACAAAAATGTGACGAGGACCGAGCACACAACTGGTCCGATCACTTGTATCACTTCAAGCATGCATTAACGTTGCATTTCCACAAGATGGATTCTCTCATTTGAAAATAACACATTCCCATTTGAGACAATTACACACCCAGCACATTAAGTTGGATCCTTGCCCTGCAATAAAAAAAGTTAGCACAAAGGTACCTGAGCAATGCTTCCCATTAATGTTACTTCAAATATTACCCAGGGGTTATAACTCAGAGGCCCATGATGCATGAGGAATATTGAAACCAAACAAATCTAAAACTGGGATAGAAGCTAGGAAGCTGTTGCATTTAGGACGAATAGAATAGTCCGTCATATGCATTGCTTCACAATGTTGCCCAGTTGGTTCGTTATTTTGTTTAGTTAGGGCCAGTTAGTGAAGATCAGTGTAATAGCAGTTAAACAGCAGTCATCCCAGACTGAAAGAGAGCCTAAGAGTGAAACCTTTTTATACATATGCATCTACAGTACACTCCTCTGTGGTCACGTATATACCTCGTAACGTCAGTAACATTAATCCTTTATGTGGTAATTTATTTTGCAATTTCCCTTGGCCCATGAAACCAGTCATGCATTGGCCATTTGTTTCAGTTATCTGAAATCACACTGTTATTTCCATTAAAGCAGGCATTGAGTCACCAGCAATCACCTTAACTCAATTTATCCTCTGAAAGCAAAAAATGCTCTCAGTTCTCGCAAACCTTTGGAAATCCCGGCCAAAGTTGTTCACCTGAGACACGCTTATGTTGTGTTATTCTATCTAGCCAAGTAACAAAGGTGGATGCAACGATGCATCTGGGAACGCCAGACATACACGAGAAGGATCAGCAGATCACTTTACACGACTCGTTGTATTAAAGGATGAATCAAACCCAGGGGAGCCGCTTTGCTGCTGAGAGGGCAAATTCCTGTGAGATATTAGGACAAGCCGGTGGCTGTCTGTCTGTATCTCTTTCACTCGGGCCGTCCTGAGCTGCATCACTGGCATTACATGGAGTGAATCCCAGCCACAAGCTAGAGATCGGCCTGGTGGGCAGCAATCCCTGCACCCGACCCGCCCCCACCCCCCATGTGCTCGGGACTCCATGCCAAGCCTCAGCGCCAGGCCTCATCACTGGCCCAGATTTGCTATAATCATCTCAGGTCATCTGATTTAAGCTGGGGACGGAGTGAATGCCCGTCAGCTGGTCAAACAGGGCCAATGAACCCCGCCAGGCCAGACTCTTTTTGGCTAAAATATACACTGAGCAACCTGTTAAAGACTTGTTTTAACATAAATGTTAGGCAAGGTGGAATACTTCAAGCAATGAAGAGGTATAGAGGGAGTGTTGCCACCTTTTTTAAAAGCTATCGACTTGTGTTTCATTAAAAACAACAACGGGAAAACATGACATCTTGCTGGCCAACCGCCTAGTCCTGCTAGCTGCGTACAAGCCCGCCTAGTCTGTCTCTCTGTCAAGCTGGGATGTCTGGGACCTTGATGTGTATGTGTGTGTTTCTGTGTGTGTACATCAAGAGGCGTGGTAGGGAGGGATGGGCAGAGTTACAGAGGTTAATGGTAAATCAGCCAAACCAAAGTCACACACTCACCCATCACACACAACCCCCTTCCCTCCCTCCCTCCCATCCATCCCGTCAACCCACCCCCCCTTTCCTCGGCTGCATTTGTGTCCTGGCTGCTCATCCCTCAGTCCCAGCCGTTGTCCTTGATCATGTGGGCCAGCTCAATGATGAACTTGCCTTCTTTGTACTTCTGACTGCTCTCAAAGGCATGTTCCTGGAGGGTGAGACAGAGGACAGGAGAGACAGCATTTAGTTAAAATGACAGATAGACGCACAGTAATAACATGTTTATATCTTTGACGGACCGAAGCGTCGTGAAAAAACACAAGAGGTCCATACAAAAACTCTGCTCATGACAGTGCTTACAGCTGTGTATGAAAATGTTTGACTCAGTCAGGGCCTATCACTGCTGCTTGCTCTTTGGGAGCTGGTTATATAACCGGCAGTCACTAAACGCTACAGAGGGGCCTGCAGGACCAAATCTCTGACCAGACTGGATTGTCCTAAGCTAGCAGGAGAGTTTCTCATTGGGAAACAGAAAAAAACCAAAGGGTTAATCCTTGCAATGGCCTACCCAGATGTAGAATCTGCTCTATTTTTGCAGGCTGTAAAATGCATTCCTACTGTTAGGTGTGTTATCCAAAATTCCTCTGGAAAGTGTGAATGGAATTTATAAGAAAGTGAGAACTACACACAAGATGATCAGTTCCCCTACGTGTTTTTCTATTGAATGAAACAAATCGACTAACACCCTAATCACTATTTCTCATAATTTATCTATTGGTTTTCCTTCATAAAATATGTTGATTGCAAAAATCATGTAAAAAGAAGGATTGAATTAGCCTCGCTGACTCAGCTAGTGAAAAATCCAGTAACAGTTTATGAAAACGTTGTGACTTAATACCTCCAAAACTATAGACGTTCCTCTCAGCCTCATTTGTGTTTACTTTAAGTTTGGTGCTAATTAGCAAACATTAGCATGCTAAATCGCTAAACTATAAATGCTTAACATCAGTGTAGTTCTTACAAACAGTATATCCCTGAAAATGAAGGAACATTTTACCACCTCAGCTTGTTCCCGTTCCACCTCACATATCTCCAAATGTGGATATTCCTGGCCTCAGTAACTGACAATGATAGCAGAGAACCTTAACTCCGAGCTTAAAAAGGTCTTTGTGGTAAATGTTGAGTTTAAATTAGATATGCTTGCTTTTTTTTAGTTGACACGTCCTATAAAAAACACTATTTAGGGATATGTGGGGGGATAATTTTGACACAGCTTTTCCTTGAAGCCTTTTTTTACAGTCTCTAGAAAGAAGAGTCTTAGAGTGTGCTGATATATATAAATGTTCTTTCAGTGATTCACTGCGTTTTTACTTTGTTTTGTCTTTGGTTATTTTGGTTCAGAGCTGCAGAGGCACGCTATCATATTTCTTGGTTTAGAAGTGCAGTAGGTCAAGCCTCTCAAAAGAACTTTGAGGACTGCGGAAAATCAATGCTGCTGCTGCTGCGAGTGATATTAATGGAAACCCTCCATTAAGTCCTATCTAGTGTCTGTGTGCTTATCGTGTGCTTGCATGTGACTTCTGTTTTCTCTGCCTTGTGGGGTCCTGACGGGAATAGAAACTACGCAGAAAAGTATCCACTTTTAAAGCTGGTCCACCAGGTGTTTATACCACTTGCATAAGGAAAATATTTATTTTTAGGTTTGAAGGTTATAGAATCAGGTTTAAGGTTAAACACGTAGCAGTGAACGCTATGGTTAGGTGTGAGAGAGAGAGAGAGAGAGTGTGTGTGTGTGTGTGTGTGTGTGTGTGTGTGTGTGTGTGTGTGTGTGTGTCACCTCCATGCAGGCAGGGTTCACCAGTGACAGCTGCACATGCTCGTCTCTGTTGATATATGAAGACAGCTAACATGTGTTGATGTTGTTTGGTTCCCCCTGATATCGCACCTAAAATATCACCTGCAGTAAATACATCCTACACGTGTGTCTTGCAAGTGGCAACAACTGGGTCTGAAAAGTGAAGACAAAACTGAATAGCCTTATACGTGCATTCTTTCTACTTTCCATCGGGGGGCGACCTCACTGGTTGCAAAAATAAGTCAGATTGTATAGAAGTCTACAAGAAAATGACCCAACTTTTCACATGATTTGTTACCTCAGTGAAAAGGTTACTAATGACTTAATGGTCTCATTTGCTTGTGTAAAGTCTTGTTGAATACATGATGAGGTTCATTTAGTAAATGATTGTCCCACTTACAGTTAGATGACAAAGCAAGGTGTGCCTTAAGGCGTGCTCTTGTTTAGCGTTCAGTTGTACTAGCTCTATCCCCTCCTGTTGATACTTGTTCCAAACTAGCAACAGGCGATGGCAAAAAATGCAAAATGCTAGGCTTCAAAACCGTCGTACACAAACTAATGATGTCATGGTGACTAACACTAACTCTTAAATACAATCTATTAAATGTTTAAATGCTATATCACAGCTTTACAGAGACTTTGCTAATATCCCTCTAATATTAACCCAAGCCATAGTGAGGCAAACTGTCATTTTGTAAATGTTCAATCAACACTAGACAAATAAAGATTTCTCCTTCGTTTCTCCATCTGTTCTGAGAAATCTATCTCATCATTAATTCAGCCCACAGCTGTACCATGGCATTGAGAAGAGGTCCAAATATAAGAACCGTGCAAATGAAATTAGGGTGTGCTATAATAACCACCTTCCAGTTTATCCCCCTCTAACCTTGGGTGCAGTTTGCGGTGAGCTTGTGCATCAAATTAGCCAAGGACACTCACGTATTTCCAGCCCAGGGTGGTCTTGCAGTTCTCACAGTAGATGTCTGCTACAGCATGCAGGCCTGTGAGCAGGACCCTCTCCTCTGCAGGGCCACACCCAACGTTCACCCTGAGAGACAGAGATTGGGTTTGTTGAGAGGAAAGTAGAGAGGCAGGAGAGACAAGCAGAGACAACAGTTACAAATTAATATTGTGCAAGTGGCTCAAGTTGCTTGGTTGCATGTACTGTACGATGTGCTCAGAGTGAGTCACTGCCTCACACCCACCCACACAGCGCATACTGATAGGACGCTAGGCCATGGAGAATAGATTTAAACAGCCTCGTTTTCACACTCAATTCAACCGATAATGACTATAAGGCACAGGCTGGTTCTGTCATCAACACTTCATGCATTATTACCTCATTTAAAACACCTGAGCATGTTAGATAACTCGTCTCCAACCCACCTTGTTGACATATCGTCAACATGAAATGCAGCAACAGAGGAATACTCACACTGAGTTGAACAGGTAGGCCCTGCCTTGGCTGCCTTGAAACGACTGCAGAGACGAGACGAGACAAAGATGAGAAGACTGAAACATGATTCAGTCTGATCATACAGTGAAGTAACTCTATAAAATGATAAGAGCACGCTGTTATATATTGCATTAATGCTTTAGCCAAATAAAAGAGAGAGTCTTAGTTTCCTATAAAACACCCACGTGTGATTTGAGACAGGCCTTGAAATAGGAGCTTTTATTTTAAACCTAGAGAGAAAATCTATGTTCATGTCTACTTTAAAATGGTGCGCAGTCTCCCAGTAACAGTCCGTATGCTACTGATCAGATCACAGTTGGCAAATGCATAAGTAACTTCACCACTGCCCTTTTTCCACAACATTAAAGCTTCTATTGAAGAGAAACAATGAACAGATTTGTGTCGTCCACCTGTGTTACGACCGGCCGAAGGCCTTTGTGCACAGGTGTGCAATGTTTTCATATTCGCATGTGGAAAAGGTGATAGTGCATTCATAATCCAGTTTACTAACCAGTTTATAACATAATCCATCCACAGGCAATAGTGTGGCGGCAGCTGACACAGACATGCAGGTGTTCAGCCTGTTGTTTGTTCTCTTAATTCCTCATCCGTTCTCCCTCTTTATTAATCTTCAACGCTTGTCCTTTTAATGACTGTTAATCCTTGTCAATTAAGAAATGTAAGAATAAATGAGAGACAAAAACTATACAGTCAATGCTTGTTTCTAAATTAAAACAACTTAATGTGAGATTGAAAAGTAAAAGCAAAAGCAAAAGTACTTTTTCAGTCTGTAATAATTAGCCTCCTGGATGTAAGTACTGCCTTCGTGTTTTCCAGGGAGACAAGTCACCGGAGCAGGGTGCCGGTTACCTTGGAGATGAGCTCGTCGTGGTTGGCCAGGTGAGCTCGGCAGTGGATGCAGCTGTAGGTCCGGTGGCAGCTGGGCAGGTACGCCTGGAAGGTCTTGGAGCGCGTCATTCTGACCATGGGCGGAGTTGGCGGGCGGTGCAAGAAGGGACTGCCAGCCCAGGTCGGCTCACAAGGGAAGCACCGCAACACACAGGTGAGGGCCGTGGTGGGCGTCGGGTTGGGAGGCAAACACCTGAGCACAGGGGGGATAATATAGCGGCTAATGGTTACATGGTTCTGTAACAGCTGCTTCCTTAAACTGGTTTGTAAACTGAGCCACAGGTGTATAATTGCTGATGGGATTACCACCTGCTCTGTGTGCTCAGAGAATTCTCCAGCCTGCTCGCATCTTTGAAACTCTTAAAGCCTCAAGGAAGTATAATGTAATGAGACGTCATGCATTATTAGCCTGGTAACAGACACTTAAATTCACATTTAGGTTACCTGTGAAAACACGGAAGTACTACTTTAACAGATGAGATTTAAACATTGTACAGGTGCAAGCTTCCACCGTACAGGTACTTCTGCCAAGAGGCAAAAGTTAATTGTACATGACTCAGAGGAGAGAAAAAGCAAAGCCTGTGGCGAGCTGTCTATTGGAAAAATTCATGATAAACTACAACTTGGGGATAGTTTAACTTTAACCAGAGAATTGCAGACAGAGAGTAACAGGCTGCAGCCAAGTCTTGAGACTTTGTGACATAATGAACTATGTCACAAGGGTCTTCCTGCCTAAAATACATAAACATAAGCTTTGCATACACTCAAATGGTCTACAAAATGAATGACATTACTCTCAGCCTCAAGTGTCCTTTGTGTTTAGTGCTAATACGAGAATATGCCATTGCTAACACGCTAAACAAAAAAGTTGAACATTATACATGCATTAAAACACATTAGCATGCTAGCATTTATTAAGCATTTTTGTGAATACGAGCATGCTTGTGTTAGCATTTAGCTCAATGCATTGCTGTTAGCATCTACAACCTCAGTCCCAGTGCTGCTTGTGTGGCTTTAGACTCTTAATTCTAGCTTCTCACATGAGGGAATATATGGTTGACATTATGTAGACCAAACAATTACTGACTTATTTATGTTTGACAGTGTGTGTGTGAGGACCCCGGGAAGAATAGCCAATGCTCATGCTAGTGCTAATGGGGATCCTAATAAAGAACAAGAACAACTTGATTGTTATTGCATAAAATGGTATATTGAAAATAATAATCAGTGGCATCCATCCCCCCGTGCTCAAACCATTTTACATTAACCAGTTCAATGCAGGACACACAGACAGCAAAGCTAGCTCTCATTCTGTGTTTAAGTCTATGAGGCTGCAAAGATAATCTGCTTAGTGTAGCACAACTGTGAGGATCGTGCTCTGCTCACTCCATGATATCCAAATAGACCGAGCCCTTAAAATACTCCTGCTGGTGTGCCCTGGTGACTGAGAAGATTAGTGAGCCGGCCTGGGAACTCGTCCCACAGGCTCAGAGGACGGGAGAGTGTTTTGACTAACTGTGCATGAGATAGGTTAGGAGCCTGTGCTCTCTACCTTGAGATGCAGATACAATCTTTGTGTTTTTATTGCTTAATGCAACTTTAATTGAGAGTTCAGCCCTGTAGCTCTGGTGCTAAACACAAACCATCAATCGCTAGATTTAATCTGGTTTTATTCCCCAGTGCTACTTCTCATAAAGCTGTTGAAGAGCCTCACTAAAACATTGTATTCTCCTTTTTATTGTCTACCTGCATATTTTCAAATAACTAACTAACTAACTATTCTTTCTCCTTTGAATTGTCAATTTACAAAACAACATGTTCTAACTATGACTATAAGGGCTGTGACTCTATACAATGGTGTTATAACTTGTTGTTTCACATATCCCCTTCACAACACACCGTCCCATTCTGTCTCCTCTCCTTCCTGTCTGTCTTTACTGAACCATCTGGAAAAACTAATAAAAAACTGAATGGAAGCAGGAGGCCTCTGTGAGTTCAGCACTTGAGAGAGAGAGAGAGAGAGAGAGAGAGAGAGAGAGGGAGAGAGAGAGAGAGAGAGATAGGCCTCTTGACTTCACTTCTCTGCAATATGATTGTTATTAGAGTCAGAGGCTGATAGAGGCTTCAGTGCCTTTGGGAAGGAGCGTNCACACACACACACACACACACACACACACACACACACACACACACTGACCCAAAGCCTGTTTTATCCTATCGGTTATTTCAGGGCTGAGGACAAGGAAAAGTTTATGTTGGATCCAGTCCTCTGAGATCTGATCGAAATATTTAGAACTGTGTTACCTAATTGACAATTTATTACATGATTAAAGATGTTGAAGATTTTTATATTTGGCTGCTGTATAACTTAGAGCTGAATTCATACTTAAGCAAAAATGACAACAGTCTCTTCTATTTTTATCATAACATTTAAGTATTTTATAATAGTAAACTGAGTATGAGAATTAGAGTGTTGATTAGCAAACAAGCTATTTGAATTGCAATTAATCAAGAAAAAAATCAAAATCTACACAAAGCCTGCTGATAGCTCGGTTATAAGTATCAGGTATTGCAGGTCAAATCAAACTGAAACTTAAAATGTAATTACATAAAATTCAAGCTTCTTCTTCTTCTTCCAAGCCTCTACCTCCCGCTGCATTTGCTACAAGATATAGATGTCATATATATATAACATACATAATGCATGTGGAGTTCTCTCTGTGTAATATCTGCAGTCGCTGGGGAATCTGAGTGCATGTCAGTGGCTTTGAATACTTCCAGATATACATTATTCAAGTGATTCAAATACATTGTCATCATATGCTGTCTGATGACATTTTTTGGCAGTCAACTAATTGTTGTTTTTCATTTTTTAAGCTATAACTGCCATCAATACATTCTCCGTTATCATTAAGTGAATATTTTTGGGGTTTCGCTGTTGGTCACACAAAACAAGATATTTTAGGATTCAACTTGGACTCTGTGAACTCGTGACAAAGCATTTATTCCATCTTTTCTGACATTTAAACAGAAATACCTGCTTAACCAAGAGAATAATTGCAGATGAACTGATAATGAAAATAATATCAGATTGCAGCCCTAAAGATGTTCTGGCTTTGATTTGACATGCATAAAATCGACTGATTTGGCAATGCTTTATTCTTACAGTATAGCCTGAAGTCCTGAGTCGTTCCATAAGGAAACCAATTATCATGACAGCTGCACAATGCGGTTATTTGAAATTTTAACACAATTAGTTTCCAAGAACAGGACAACACTCATCTTGGTGGGTGGACATGCTTGAAACTCATTCTGCAAAAGGCAAAAATTGTTTGTGGGAACAAAGATGATGACGCACTGTAAAACGTTGATGGATAATCATAGTGCTTCTCACTTTAAAAAAAAGCTACATTGATAGAATAACAAATTGCATAAATGATCAGATGACTAGAAGATCTGGTGGCTGTGATTCAGAGGGGGGCCAGCAGCAGGAAGTTTTAGTACTGACGTCTGCATAGCTTCAGTGTGTCTTTAATGTTTATCCATCTTGTGTCTGTTTAGTTCTTAGTCTGCCTGTGTCGTCTCTCCGTCTGTCCCCATGCCTCTCAGCCTGTTTGTGTATTTGTTTTCCCTGCTGTCACTCTTTTCTATTCATCAGTTCTGCCGCGAGTCGCTTGAGGTCACAGCGCTGTCCATTCTGGTCATTTCTGGGTGTCATCACAAAGGGCTACGTGCCATGAGTTTCAACAGCCAAAAGGGCCCTTGTATCCCAACAAAAAAACCTTTGTTATGTAACGCACTGATGCTGCCGCTGCTGATGCTGCTTCTGACAATGATCGAGGGCAGGAGGAAGAGATTCAAAGCGGGAGGGGAAGATGAGAGTCACACAGGGACAGAGAGGGAGTTAAATTGAACACAGAAAGAGAAAGGGAAGAAACAGTGTGTGTCCCTTTCAGCGGTGGATGAGCTGAGTGTGTCAACCACTGCCCACATGCTGCACCGACATGATTTCTGTACTTCATGTATTTTCATGCTGCTCTGAGAGAGACAGCATACAGCAGCATGACATCACCGAGTAAAGGAGGAGAGAACTGGGCTCTACCCCCCCCGAACATATCAAATGTCACTGATGGAGAGATGTTTCTGCATCCCAGGTGTGTGTGTCTGGTTACTGTTGCGATGTTTGATCTGAACTCACTACCAATTGATTCTGTCTGTCTCTACTCTGCCCTCTGTGGAGAATTATGCAGCTTGTTTTCAGGTGCTTTATAAACTCTTACTTACACATTCTTAAAATGCTCATTATCTAGCTTGTTCGTACATCTCTGTTGCATTTCAAAAATTGACAACAAAAAAAAGTGGCTGACCTGTGAAACCCTCGGCACACAAACACATTATAGATAACTTTTGTTTGTGTAGTCCTATGTGCAAAGGATCACCTTTCAGAGGCCTGCAACACTCTGACCCCCAACATCGATCCCTGTGTATCGACTCCTCACATGATCAATAACTATCTGCATTCACACTTTGTAATGAAAATAAATCGGTGCAAAGGTTGCGACTAAACTGTCTCACATGGACTTTATTTAGTAAATGCTTTGGGAGGATGGGGGGGGGTGCAGCATTTCCAACTCCTCTCTGCATGGCCTTACTTGAATGGTCTGTCATTGACTTGTTGGGAAGGGTAGATGTCACGTGGACAAACACATCAATAAATACACAAAAACATGAAGGCTTAAGGTTTACAGTGTGTGATTATTGAATCAGGTCACAAGCAGTGGCGCACTTCATCTGGGCACAACTTCGGCCACCACACGCAGCACAGATGGCGGGGATTCCTCAGCTCAGCAATTCTCCACATACACGCACATACACGCACGCACGCACGCACGCACGCACACACACACACACACACGCACACACACGCACGCAACTGACGCAACACACACTCTAAAAAAGCTGTAACATCTGTAATGACTTTGCCATATCGATGAGAACAATGTGATTGTCGTCAGAGCTTCTCATCACAATGTGCGTATACATGGTCCCCCGTATTGATCACCCCTGACGTGCACTATCACGACCAACCGCGCACACGAGGGGGATGGCGCATACGTGCTGGACTGCCATCACACAAACACCATGCGTCCTAATAATAACAACATGTAGGCTAGACACTTTAGATCCACTGCAATGTATAACTCTGTATCCAATCTTCGAGGAAAGGACAAGTCCTGGCATGATAAATACATTTCAATGTCATGTAATACATGTTGTTCTTGGCAGGACATAATCTACAAGCAATACACTTGTTTTTTATTGTAATATCACTGCACTTGTGCCTGAATGTTAAAAGTTGCCTTGGTTAAAAAGTACTGTAAGTGCTGTCCATCACTAATCGACGTTGGAATAAGCTTCTTACAGCGATAGGAAAACAGTGCGTAACAACAAATGCACCACAGTGAAAAATAACGCAGAGGAAATCATTTTACCTTTGAAGGGAAGAAAACACGTATCTCCACGTAGCTTAGAAGATGTCGCACCTCCTCGTTTTTTCTCACGGCACTGCCAATCCTAAATCCCCTTTCGCATTCCTTCCTAGACAAATTTCCTCTTCTCTCTCCGGCCCTGACAAGTCCTGCAGAGACGCAATGTTTTGACGCGCAATAATGCCCAGCAGAGTTTAGAAGAGCAGAGGTAAAGAGTGCTGAAGCAACCAGCCGGAGCGAGAGGGTTCCCTCCAACTCACTTCCGCGTTCGTATAGAAACCGTTACACAGTCAGGACTGTTATTTCTCTCCGGTTTCTGTCCATTGTCTCATTGTTTTGTTTCATTTAGTCGTTTAGCAGTGTAACCTATGTCTACTGTTCTGTTACATATACTGTCACACATTTGAGTGTTACATGATGTAGGTATGCTTTTGAAATTATGATTTTTGTGTGTAAAGAGTCTATGGTAAAGACTAGTGTTTTGATGGTGAGCTCAAGATCAAATAAGACAGTTAATTATAACAATAATGTGCTTCACTCAAATGTATATATTTGTTGTTGTTTTACATTTCAACAAAGCTTTTTCATTCAAAAAAAAATGTGTTCAAGGTACAAAAGCTTAAATGTATTTAGATATAAGATTGTGAAAACTAAAATACACATCATTTTAAGCACTCAAGAGAAAAACAATAGCTACACCACAAAGAAATAATAATGTTAAAGATGATGAGGATAATAATTGGAAACATTTTATATATTTGGTGACAAACACCACTGTGTAGGCCTACATTTGATTTCTTATTTATTTCAAGTTTAAGAGTCTTTAATTTCAAGTAGCACAACTTAAACGTCAGATTGAATTAAAAAAAAAAGGTTATTAACAGTAGTACATAAACATTAATAACACATTCAAAGTAATTGAAGGTATTTGTTATTTTAACTACTGCTGTATAATACAAAATAGACAAAATATGAATGATATTTTCCTGTATGTATTTGTTTGATACATTTTGTGTAATAGTTTCAGATGTATTTCTCCTGTTTTGTCAGTGATGCAGAATCACAATAAACCATGGCAAAGATATTTTAAAGCTCTGAAGGACGTGCACCATCTTGGTGGCCAGGTTGGCAATCTTTGGCAAAGAGGACACGGACCGCTTCCTCGATGAATGATATCTGTAACAGCCAATCAGCGAACGGATAAGGCATAGCAACACTGAGCTCATTGGTTGAGGGTAGAAGCCTGTGACCAGTTATCTGACAGGAATATTACAGTTTTACATTGTTCTTCTTCGTAATGTAAACTATGTGTAAAACACTAAAAGCCCCATGTGAGTGCAGTTTTTAAGAAAGAAGATCAAGCAGGGAAACAGCAGTGTGTAGAAAAATGAAAGGAAACTATTTTATGTAACAATTCATGTCCCGCATCATTCACTTTCTTTCTACAGGGAAAAGTTCTCAAATCACTCTAGTCTACAGCGCCACCTGCTGTCAGTCTGCAGGTAGTTACCAAACTTAACATTACACTTTAGCCAAATAAGTGCGGGAAACGATGTTATACTACACCAGGGGTACTCAAACTTTTTTGTTAAAGGTCCACTTGTGAATGTTATACAAGGTCAATGGTCCGGATCAATGCCAGTAAAGTCCTCCCCCACCCCCGGAGCGGAGCAACGAAACTGAAATTAAGAAGCAGTTTTGGCGTGCAATGCCTGGGGCCCCCTTGAGGGGGTTTCCCGACATATCGTTGCAGTAAATTAAAGGGTGTTTCATGTTGTCGTTGCTGTGGACCTTCTTAAGCTTTTTTTATGTTCTTTTTGTTTTTTTAAGAAAATTACAATTTGAAATTGTTACGTTTATTCTGGTTTGTTTTGTGTTTGTATCTTTTATTTTAAAGTAATTAATTTATTGAATGTTTTGTGAGCTGAGCTGTGTGGTTTTATATTGTATTTATCTCTCTGTACAGCACTTTGGTCTGGAGGTTTTAAAGTGCTATATAAATAAAGTTGGATTGGATTAATCTACCTTATTTGGCAAGGCACAC